GGCCCTGCCCCTGGCCCGCTATCGGGGTCCGCGGCCGCCTTCCCTCTGCGCCGCCCCGGCCCGCCCGCTCTCGGGCCGTGCCAGCGTTGCCGATTTTCTCTTTTCCAGGTTATTTATCGTGTGTTCGGGAAGCGCCTCTTTTAAGCATTTAGGCCTTAGCTGCTGCACCTCATTTTTTATTTAACAAAAGGTACACCAAACTATTTAAATAAAAATCATTATCACACTGTTGTCTCCTTTATGTTTCCTCTTTAAAGATGGCAAATTTTTTGTGCTAGTTATACGACTTTGTATAACATCTCCAAGTCAAAACACCCTCCAACAATTTTCTGCTTAACTGCTTTGCCTTGAGCTTTTATTCCCTTTGAGAAATCTGAGCACAAAACATCTGGACGCCCAAGTTGCTTCGTCCCCAGCGTGTCCTGCTGAGGGGAAATCCCTGCTTGTCCTGTTCTTGTTTCTCCAACTGGGATGAACTTCCCGGGCTCTACTCCCGGGCTCTTCTTGAAAGCAAAATAATGTGGATTTCACTTCCCTCTGGGCAGGACTTGGCTGCTGCCGAACTCGGATAAATTCAGCTTTCTGATAGCCTGGATTTCCCTGCTTGGGATCCCTTTTCTTTGCTGCAGTCCATCACACGGCCGTGTCTGACCTTTAGTTCTGGTGGGAGAATCTAGACCCAGCGTAATCATCTATTGAAAAAAAATGTTTACTAGTATTCAGGCATCTTTTTTTCCAAGTATGATCATACTGTGATGTACTAATTTTTCCAAGGTCTCTGATTTAATAAAAAATGTTTAAAACCCCCCAGCATTGTACATTATAGCAAGTCCCACTTCAAGTTATTTCACACTTAGAATTTCTGAGTATTCTCCTGATAACATCAATCCACTATATTCTGTTATTTCAATCCACATTTATTTAAGATGTTCCATACTACTAAAACTCTAATGCTGTAATCCTCACTTATGGCAAAGTAATATTTAAAAGTAGAAAAAAGGTCCCCGGAAACAGGATGTTTAGAAAACACTCACCCAAAAGTAGCAATAGGACATCTATTTACAGCCTTGTTAAAACTGTGTCGTTGAACGGTGAAAGTTTAGGATTTGTCATAAGGTGGGCAAGCCCTGTTTGCAGCTTTACCGTAGCTCTGCTCTGTGATCTTTGCCAAGGCTTTCAACCTCATTAAATAAGGGTCATCTTTGCCACTTTTGGGATTAATCCATGATGAGCAGAGCATGTTGGGCATTACAGAGTACATGAAGCCCCACACAAGCATGCTTCCTTGTTACTTGTACTGTATAAACGAGCAGCTTTTTAGCTGGTTGAGAATTCTACCCAAATTACTGAATAACATTGAAAATTACATGTTTAGCTGAAATGTGAAGAAGTGGACAGGCTAGACAAATAATTTCCTAAAAACAGACAGATCATGGACAGAGAAAGTAAAGACCTTCAAAGTCTTCAGTGACTGAACTGAGTACAATTACTGAGCTCAGGCCACGTACACATTACTTAAAACCAGTAGAGATTTTTAAAACAGGCCTGAGGCAAAAGACTAACTGTGAATGTCTCCAGACTTCAGGAGAATTTAAACACAACTCCTACCTTTGCTGTTTTGGCCCCACCTTTATAATGACCTTGGCTAACAGTCTGTATCCCTGTCACTCAGAACATTTTGGGGGGTTCTCATCAGGACTCACATTTTGTGCTCTGCACCTCTTGCTGCTTACAACCAGACTCCTAAGTCTGATGTGTTTTGTTGCTTGTGGCTATACTACTTTCCATTTAGCTAAGTACTGCTATCATTCATCTGGTTTTAAGCTTTATTTCTGTTGTGTTTTAAGGCATAAAGCATCATTGAATGAAGCTTTTACAAAAATGTCTTCCTCTGGGTAAAATCCCAGTTAAGCTCTTCTCACCCCATACTGATTCAAGGGCTAATCTTCTTCCCTGGTAAATTGCAAATCAATTTACTTTCAAATAAACTGTTATTTCTAGGCTTAGAGAATATGATTTTTCTTATTATCCAGAAAACTAATTCATCTTTCAGGCAGTTCTTTCCCCAAGAGTGTGAATTGCATTTTACTTTAGTAGTTACAACAGACAGCCCCTGCTTTCAAGCTACAAAGACAACACTATCATGTTTCTTTGTACTGTTTCACATGCTTGATTAGTTTACTAAATTGACAGGTCATCAAGGTCCCTTAATCTCCTGGCAAGCAACTAGGATAAATTCCATAATTTGTTCTATTTTTAATTCATCCCCGAGTTTCTGATATCACACTGACTGCGAGGGGCACATCATAAAGCGTGATCACAGCGCTGTTTGTCAGTAAGATACATTTTTGCACCACTTAAACGTGGCTCCCAGGTGATTTTTCGATTGTTTGTCTTTTTAAATACTTCATTTATTCCTGTTAGAAAACCGCCATGTGACTAGAAATACAAGCACATGTGGTTCTCTTCTACCTGTACTTGTCAGTCTGACTGCAACTCTAGTGGCAACAGCCTGCTGTTCAGTGATGGGCTTGCTCCAGCTGTGAGAGAAAACCACATCTATCCCTTTTGCTAATAGAAACAGGATAAAAATAGCATATCCTCAGAGACCCCTTCCCTTAAAGGCTGTTAGCAGACACCTTGACCCAGTTTGCTGTCTGTCAGAACGTGTGACTTTTGAGCTAATGTATTTATGCAATTTGCCAAGTATGATGGCAATAACTCTAAAACTCTACATAGAGAAAAGGATCTGTGCTACAATCCCAAATGATGGATATGTTTTTCCTCTCAAGAATCTGTTTAGAGCTGTCCTCACATTATGCAGTATTACGCATGAGTAATGAAGTGAGGTCCAGGTTAAGTCTGCCAGCCTTGTCCTGAGAGCAGACTGGAGTCATCTCTCAGCTTTGGCTGTTTGCAGCCTTCCTACAAGATTTATTCAGGCTCAGTAAAAAAACTCACAAGTCAATAACCCCCACCCCAAAGGCTCTCTGTCTCTTCTGCAATGCAAACAACTGAGGCAAGTGGGAAACTATGTATGACCTAAAGGGAGAGAGAAATTCTGAAAGACAGCTTCCCTCAACACTCCTGCATCAAGTAAAGATTTTAAGCTGTGGTAGACAGCAGGCAACCACAGGAAAGTCACAGTTTTTCTCATTGGTCAACTGCTAAAGAGAAATATGAAAAAAAAAGTATTTTCATAGGGATTATTTCCAGTAATTTAAAGAAAAATTTCACTTGTGAGTAGAAAAGTACACAGTGTATTTTAAAAATTATTTTCTAGCTAAAATGATGTAATTTTTTTGGTCATAATTAGTCAATTTGGTCAAAAAGCTTTTCTTTCCTTTTGTCGTGATTATAAAGAAATTTGTACTTTAACTGCCCACGCCCTTGCCACACTATGTTAAATATTAGCTTAGGAGGATGATGTCTAAACAGAACTTGCAAGAAATACAACATACGGGGCTGAAGTCTTTTCTTCGTCATTCCAGCACAGACCCACTAGCTTCTCAGATAAAAAGACAATGCAGCGTATGTATTTCAAACTCAGTTACTGTCTTAGAATCAGTCCAAATGAGAGAAAAGACAGTGCAAACCTCTACTGCTCTCCAGTGGAAAATGACACAATCATCAAAGTTAAAATTCCACCACTTTTCAAGCTTTTGCATTTTTTAAAACGCTCATTTGTTTGCTCCCGTACTGCCACAGGGCCACTGCGTGCCTTAGCTCCCTTGTACATGAAATACATTTTACATAACGAAAAACAGTGATTTCCCCAAATATGAATTGTATGATAAAAATGAGGGATGTGGGGCAACTCTGATTTTTTTCAATGTCAGTAGATGTTTTCAGATTTACGGCACGTGCCTAGAACAGCTCACAGTATTCCCATGACAAAACACATTGTCCAGAATGGAATTCACTGTTCCCAATCCTGCCAAACCCACCCTCTCTCAGCACGTGCAAGTTGCCTTCTAAGTTGCGTTATTGCTCAGAAAACAGGATTTTAGATATTCACGCATCTGGAGACCTTGTTAGAAATGAAAGGTCTTTTTGCCGGCAGGGATTAGCCAACACAGTGACCCAGGCATGGTTTGGGAGCTGCGAAGTCCTCAAAATAGAGTTTCAGCTCTATCAGTCATCCCTAAATGAATCACTCGCTCTATTTCTGCCTCTGTGGGTGCAGTAAATAAACACGAACGCTTTCACGTGAACGGTCCGACAGAATTTCCTCCCGTCTCCCAGGCCAAGAGATGGAAGATTAACGCTGCAATCCCTCGGGCTCGGGGCTCCCCACGGGTGCCCAGCTCCCG